TAAATTTGATTAGTTATTCATCATTTCTTTATAAATTTATTTTTTCAATATATTTAATATATAATTATAGTGCAGGATATTAATGTTATAAATTTATTATTCGTTAATATTAAGTTTATTTTTTCAATATATTTAATATATAATTATAGTGCAGGGTATTAATGTTATAAATTTATTATTAGTTAATATTTATATTTAAATATATTTCAAGTCTTAGAATTTTCTATAAAATTATTAATTAGTACTATAACATTTGAATGAATTATTTTAACATATATAATATACGTGATTATTTTTTTCATATAAATAATTTATATTATATTTATATAAATAATTAATAAATCAATATTTTTGTATATTGTATTATGTTAAACCTATAGTTAATTAATGATTTGTTTTAAAGTATAGTACATATATTGTAAGTTTTATAGCTTATGATATTATATTTACTTTTATTTATTTGTGTTTATCTAATAACATATAATAATTAAAAATTCATGTAGAAATAATAATATATTTTATTCAGTTGAAGCGTTCAAATAAAATATTAATGGATAAATTTTGAAATTAATAAATTATTGTTAATAATCAAATAGGATTTACATTATATATAAGAATTTGAATTTATTTGTATAAAAGTAAAATATTATCTTATCATTTATATATATATATATATATATATTTGAATTAAGAACTTTTAGAGATTTTAATTTATTTTTTTTAACAAAAATTGATTGGTTAAAATATTTAATTTGTGGTTATATATTTGTGGACCAATATATTTCTTTTATATGTGTATTTTATATATATCATTATAGGAACTCATTGTGGAATCTATGGTAGTGTAAACTAAGAATTTTTAGCAATTTTGCATTTCTTTTTTTCTTTTTTTTTTTTTTTTTTTGATTGGTTGTGAAATTTGATTGATTCTTAGTAATTATTTTTGCATTCTTCACTTTTTCTTTATTGATTTTGTAATTTGATTGATCTTAAATATTTTGTATATTTATTTTTTATTAGCTGTGCAATTTATGTGGTTATTATAAAAATATGAAATAATATATTTTTATTTAAAAGAATTAATTCAAAGCCAGAGACTTACTTTATTAATTTATCATATTTCATATATTATATGTATTGTAAAATCAAAATATAAAAAATTAATTTTTAGAATTTTTATATGTTTTCTCTAATTTTTATTAGTAACAATATTTAATAGTTTTTCAATTCATTTTAATTGATTGTATTTCTAGATTATTTTTATATATAATAAAAATGTAGTTATTAAATATTTTAAATTTTATATCACTTTTCATAAATCAAATTTATCTTTTACATATATATATATATATATTTATTTGAATTCATTGTAAGGTCTATTGAATATAAAATACAATTTCTAACAATTGGTTTCATAAATTGTACACTACTTTTTGTTAGTAAAATATTTTATTGATTAACGTCACAGTATTTAATTTTTTTTTTATGCCTAATTAACCTATTTTACTAAGGGTGTGTTTGTTTGGGGATTCTACCCCAAATACACTATTCATTCAATTTTTTCTTTTAAAAAATATCAAATCAAATATCTATTTTTTATTTTTTTATATTATAAACATCACATCAACACCTATTTATATTACATCATACAATTATTCAAATTAAAAAATTTTTACTATTCAAATCCCAACTTAAAATCCAAATCCCAAAACAAACACACCCTAAATGTTTACAAATAACCAAATGGTTGGAGAAATTTAAGCCCTTTGATATTATGATAAATGAAATTATAATAGAAAATTTTACTAATATCACAACTTTAATATTTATTATATTACTTATTTATTGATTTATTCGCTATAATATTACAATGATATATTTTTTTTGTTCCAAACACCACGCAATATTTATGTAATTAAAATAAATAAATATTATAAAAATATTACAATAATAGTAGCAATTTATATTAACGCTATTTACATATTATAAATTTATTCATGGGAAAATTATGAACAATTTAACTATATTTTTTAATATTAAAACTGTTAAAATATGAAATTGTATATTATTAACCATGTATTTAAAATTAATTTTGAAATAAAATTATTAAACTATATTATTCAATATTTGATTTAATGTTTTTTTTTTTATAAAAAAATTGTAGGAATAGGAAAATTTTTTATACAAATTTACAATCAAACACAACTTAAGAATTTTCTTTTTTAATAACATATATATACATATATGTATAATTTATTTATATTATTTTTTAAACTAATTAAAAAAAATATATAATATATATAAAATTATAATATAATAATACAATTAAATTCATCTATGCGTCGAGTACTCGCTAGTATAAGTTTATATAAAATCAATAAGAGTACGTAGAAATTTGGTTACATTAATTTATTATTCTAGAGAAAAAAAAATGAATTTTAAGAATTATTTGCAAATATGATACAAAATAGAAAATACAATGTCATCTAACAATCTGAAAGGACTTATTTATTTCTTAAACCTAAAATTTGTAAATTAATATACATTTTATAAAAGAAAAAATAAAATTTACTATCAATTATATTTTTAATTTTTATTTAAAAATTCAAAAATTATGGTGGTAGGAATGGAGATGTTGGACTCTACACTATATTTAAATATAAATATATATAGGAAAATAATTTTTTAGTATTGTACGTGACATTTTTATTATTTTAGAACCATAATTAGATTTTGTGTTGAATTAATCATGAGAAGTAATTTTTATTTTGGTAGAAATGGTCCTTAAATGTCAGAGTTACTGATGTGACACCGTCGTGATATGCCGAAAATTATGTAGATAATACATGCAAAATATTTGAAAATTATTTTAGTCTCATAACTAGATTTTGTATTGAATTAATATCATAATTAAATTTTTTTTCGAAGCTATAGCAACTCCGGCCCACTCTACTATTCAATACAAATATTATTATTAGTATTATTATTGTTTACACATTTATCATTAATTTTTTTTTAACTAAAAGTATGAAAAAAAATATTTTTACATTACTTTCAATTATATATTATAATTAAAATAATAATATCAAATAATATTATGTATTAGTGAAAGTATATATAATCGTTGATTATAATATTTATCTTTTGCATTTAATGTATAAATTAATCGTATGTATAATGATATATTTGTAGTTTATATAAAAATTAAAAGTATTTTGATATTAATGTATCATTATTTATGAGAATTTGCGCAACAATTAATTTAACTATAATATGAAAAAAATGCTTTTGAATAAAAAATGCAAAAATACTAAAAATGATATTTCTTTTGCGCAACAATTATTTTAACTATATATAGGATTTGTTCATATTGTGTTTTTCAGTAATATAATTTTTTATTTATTATAAAATACAAATATATAAATATATTAACACAATATTTGTAGTATATTTTATTTGCTTAAAAAAATTAATAATTCAATAATAAAAAAAATCATCTAAAAAGAAAAACAAAACAAAACCATAATTTTTTACTATAGTAAAAACCGTAAAAAAAAACAATATCCACATTAAAAATATTTTTCAAAAATTATTAACACGCAGTTAGGCGATGCAAGAATTATTTAGGGTGTGTTTGTTTGTGAGATTGGATTTTCAATCCACTATTCATCCATTTTTTTCCCCCAAAAATATCAAATCAAACACCTATTTTTCATTTTTTATATTATACTTAAAAATCAATTTTACATTCAAAACATCACATGAACACCTATTTATATTACATCATACAACTATTCAAATTCAAAATTTTTACTATTCAAATCTTAACTCAAAATCCAAAACCCCAAACAAACACACCATATACAATTTACATGTTTGTCATATGTATATTCAATAAAAAATTCATGATAGATATTTTAATTTTTTTTATATAAAAAAATGGTTATAATATAATCTAATTATGGAAAACAATCATTTTTAGTTCTAATATAACCAAAATTCATTAATTTTGGTCACAATATAAAAATTTTATTAATTTTGGTCTCAATATAACCAAAACTTATCATTTTTTGTCTCAATATAACTAAAACGCATCATTTTTGGTCATAATATAATTTTTTATCAATTTTAGTCACAATATAACAGAAATTCATCATTTTTTGTCTCAATATAATAAAACCTTATTTTTTTTGTTCCACCGTCAACAAACCGACGGAAAATACTGACGTGAAAAGAAATCAAACCTTATATTTATATTTGAAGAAATTGCAAAATTTTGCAAGTCCACGTCAGCATTTTCCGTCGATTTGTTGACGGTGTGACAAAAAAAATGTTTGATTATGTTGGGACAAAAAATGATGAATTTTGGTTATATTGAGACTAAAATTGATAAAAATTTTATATTGGGACCAAGAATGATGAGTTTTTGTTATAGTAGGACAAAAAATGTTAAGTTTAATTATATTGAGACCAAAATTGATAAAATTTTTATATTGAGACCAAAATTGATGAATTTTGGTTATATTGGAACCAAAAATGATTTTTTCCCTCTAATTATTATAGTATTAGGGTGTGTTTGTTTGGATTTAGATTTTGAGTTGAAATTTGAATAGTAAAAATTTTTAATTTGAATTATTGTATGATGTGACATAAATAGGCGTTGATGTGGTGTTTTGAATGTAAAATTAATTTTTAATTTAATATAAACAATGAAAAATAAATATTTAATTTAATATTTTTTTTAAAAATAAGATAAATAATGTATTTAAAATTCAATCTTCCGTCAACTGCGTAAACCAATAAATAAAAAATACAGTAGCAGTTTATTTAGAACGAATTTTGTTTGTTGAAATTGATGAAAATGGGTGTAGTTTATTATAGGCGGGCGGGCCGCGTGGGTACACGCGCCAAGGAAGAGGACGGGCCGCGTGGTCTGACCTAATATGAAAATAAATAAAGTGTATATGGACCGGACATCAAAGTCCATATCTAATTTGGTTTAATATATTTTTGTTTTCCGCCAACAAAAAAACCCTATCGCTTACGACTCTCGATTTCGAACCGATCCCCAAGTTCCATCTCTCTCCAGGTCCAATTGCAAGCCCAATTTGCCGATCGAGGGTCTCGGCCTTCGGAACCCTAGATCTCAGACCTCGGAATCGCGCCGTTCCGGCGTGGATTTGCTGCCAGATCTTCTTCTTTTCGCTGGTATGGATTGCGGCTTTGATTTGTGGGAGTTTTTGTGGATTGTTGTAGTTTTCGATTTGAATTTTAGTTTTGATTTGGTTGGCAATTGTTGTTGTTGTTGTTCGGTGGCGTTTTTGCTTTTGATTGGGTGGGGTTGACTAGAGATTGGCATCTGTTCGTGTTTGCTTTGGCTTCTTTGATTGTTTGTGCTGTTTTGAAAATGAATTTAATTTGTTATGTATAGCTAGTTCTGGGAACTGTCGGATCTTAAAGTTCTGTGTTGAGTTTGTTTCTTTGATGGTTTGAAATCTGGTCGACTTCATTTCGCTCCTGTTTTCGAGTGTTTTAAAGGTTCTAAAATCTGCTGTTGGAAAGGTTTCCTTGTTTGTAGCTTGTTTCGTAATGATACTTATGGAACTGAGCGGGTTTATTAATGTCCTGCTTGCAGATGAATATTGCTGTTCAGTTCAAGTTTCTGGGTAGATGGGCTTTAGATTTGATATTCTTGAAGCCCATGGCTTGTGATGAAGCACCAAATCTGTTTTCCCTTGTGTTTTTGTGTCGCTAACTTGTTCATAGGCATCCTGTGCTGTTAAAGGTTAAAAATATGTGAATTGGATTTGGATCCTGTGATTCGTGGTAGGGTTGTTTTTGTAATTGTGATATTCGGGCATGGATACATACATAGATCGTGTTCAATAACGTGTGTCGTTTCTGGTTTTTGGGTGAAACCAGGCCCAGTTGGGCCCTGTTAACCATCTAATTACAAACTGTAAATATCATCTTTTAAGCCTTTTGTGGTTGTGGGTTCTTGACAAATCATAGTACATGGTGCCTGGGTGGGTGATGCCATGCCGCAAGGCCCACCTGTGAAGCTTCGCACTAAACTCCTCGGCACACTTGACTATACTCGAAATTCAATTCATCCCCAGTGTCCAATGGCCGAATGTTTCTGTTTTTCTCCACTATTGCGTTAAACGTGTTTCTTCCGTGCCATCTGTTCTTGAATGTGTTTTAATTTTTGAAATGTTAGTCTGTCACATTCATGTGTGCTATTCATGAAATTTCATTTTTTAATTTAGGAGTCCCGAGTTATTGTGACTTCAATTGTTATACTTGATTCAGCAATGTTATCAAGATGGTTCTTTTTTAGAAGAGAGGTCATTTTTATTTTTTGCCAATAATTTCAGTGGGCTACCGTGATAACACCATCATTCTGTTGTTTAGCTTTGTGTGTTTTTAGGCTTGGAGCTCTGAATTTTAGCTTATGATTGTTTTCTTGAATATGCAGGAGATTAGCTAAGATTTTCAGGCAGCCAAGATGGAGATGGAAAACCAGGATGTGGTAATGAATAATGAGCTTGTTCCTATGGATACACAAGGCATTGAGTCAGAAATGCAACTTGATATTTTAGAGCCTCAGCCTGCCTATATGGAGATGCCAGAGGGTAATACTGAAACGACGCCGCCTACCAAGAGGAGGAAAAAGAAGTCGGTTGTGTGGGAACATTTCACCATCGAGAATGTTGGTCCCGGATGCAGGAGGGCTTGCTGTAAGCAATGCAAACAGTCATTCGCATACAGCACAGGGGCTAAGGTAGCTGGTACGAGTCATCTCAAGCGTCACATTGCAAAGGGGGCTTGCCCGATGGTGTTGCGCAATCAGGAGAAAAATCAGATCACCCCATACAGTGCTCCTTCAAAGATTAGCACATTTACTGACACACCAAAACGACGCTATCGACAAGCAAGCAGCGTACCTTTAATGAACTTTGATGCAGATCGGTGCCGACATGAGATTGCTAGGATGATTATTATGCATGACTATCCCCTTCACATGGTGGAACACCCTGGTTTTGTGGCCTTTGTTCAGAATTTACAGCCTCGTTTCGATATGGTCAGCTTTAATACTGTTCAGGGAGACTGTGTTGCAACTTATTTGAGGGAGAAACAGGTCATTCAGAAAGTTCTCGAGGGGGTGCCAGGGCGAATCTGCCTTACACTGGATTTATGGTCCTCATCCCGAACTACTGGATATGTGTTTGTTAGAGGCCAGTTTGTTGATAGTGAATGGAAAATGCACCATAAGCTGCTTAATGTGATCATGGAGCCTTATCTCGACTCTGATACTGCTTTCAGCCATTCTGTCGCTGCATGCCTGTCCGACTGGAATATGGACGGCAAGTTATTCTCTGTAGCTATAAACCAACAGCTGAGTGATGGTGCAATTGATAATCTTCGAGCATTGCTGTCGGTTAAGAACCCCTCGGTTCTTGGTGGCCAGCTGTTGTTGGGAAATTGCCTCGCACGATCCCTAAGTAACATTGTCCAGGATGTATTAGCTTCGGTTCAGGGCATTGTTAAGAAAGTTAGGGACAGCGTCAAGTACGTTAAGACTTCAGAATCTCGCGAGGAGAAGTTTGTCGACCTAAAGCAGCAACTTCAAGTGCCTAGCTCGAAGACACTTTCCATTGACGTCCAAACTCAGTGGAACACGACTTATGAAATGTTGTTGGCTGCGTCTGAATTGAAGGAAGTCTTCTCTTGCTTGGATACTTCTGATCCCGACTACAAGGACGCCCCCTCGGCTGAAGATTGGAGGCAAATTGAGATTCTGTGCAGTCATCTAAAACCACTCTTCGACACAGCCAATCTTCTGACCACCGGAGCTACTCCGACAACAAACGCTTATTTCCATGAAGCATGGAAGATTCAGTTAGAATTGGCGCGCGCAGCAACCAGCGAAGACCCCTTTGTGAGTTCTCTGACCAAGCTTATGCAAGAGAGGTTCGATAAATACTGGAAGAGTTGCTGCTTTATTCTAGCGCTTTCTGTGGTTATGGATCCCCGGTTCAAAATGAAGCTCGTTGAGTTCAGTTTCTCAAAGATATACGGCGAGGAGGCTGCCTCATATGTCAAAATAGTCGATGACGGCATCCACGAGCTATTTCTCGAATACGTAGCTCTCCCGCTGCCCCTAACTCCGGCATATGCCGAAGAAGCCAATGGAATGGGCGCCGCCAAGCCTGAGGATGCTCAAGGAATGGAAATCTCAGGCAATGGTCTTGGACTCACAGATTTCGATGTTTATATCATGGAAACGACGAGCCAGCTATCCAAGACTGAATTAGATCAGTATCTGGAAGAGTCCCTTTTGCCGCGAGTGCACGAATTCGACGTGATCGGGTGGTGGAAGCTCAACCGGATGAAGTATCCGACGCTCTCGAAAATGGCTCGGGATATTCTGTCGATCCCTGTTTGTACAGTGCCTGCATCCTCCGTATTCGATACGGTTCAGAAGGAGATGGACAGTTACCGGTGTTCTCTTCGACCCGAGACGGTGGAGGCGCTGATATGTGCCAAGGACTGGCTTCAGTCGGGGAAAGTCGAGGCTCCGGCCCCTGCCTTGAAGATGGATCTCCCGATCTAGCGATGTCGAACAATGGGTAAAATCTTAGATATAGGAAGGGAATGTTTATTTGTGATAGACATGACATGACATGACATGATTTGTGTTGGTTGTTTGTTGTATAATATTGGGATTGTGGAGATTGCATGTAACAACAACATATTCTATTTTCGGCTGCCATTAGAATAGGATAATTGCAAGGGTTGGTCATCGATGGTTCTAACATCTTGGTTCATGTCTTGTTCTTGATTTGATGGATCTATTATTGCATTGGTGTCCTAATCTTGGATTGGGTTGTAGTGGGCAATGGGGGGTAGGGTTCTGATTAGGGATATAAATCGATAATAATACTAGTACATATGGTAGGATATAAATAATTTATAATGTATACTAATGCTTCATGCATTATATACAACCATTTATTTAGCACAATAAAATGTATAGTATGAATTCATAATTTTGCACAACGAAATCAAGAATTGTACGGAAAAACCTTTTTTTGGAGATAGAGTTTAGATGTATGGTCCAAGTTCTCGAGTGGGCTTTCGACTTTGAAATTTATGGACTGTTACTTTTATGAAAAAAACAACAAAAAATTTAAAAAAAATAAAAAATTCATTTATAAAATGTTTATTTAAATAGAAATACAAATCAAATACACTCATAATTGCTGCCGTTAATTAAAATGATATATAGATTCATAGTACGGATTGCTTTTCTGCTTTTTGAATTTTTGTTAAGAAAAGGTATATTAGTTTGTTATTATTTATTTATTTATTTATTTTATTTTTGGAATAAGTTTTATGTAACTTCCATCAAATTTAATAACTTGCAAATTAAATTGACAAAACAAAATCATATTAAGCTAATTATATGTGACATATCTCACCGTCACATCAAAAGACTATCCATCAAGGAACAAATAAAATTGTTTGTCTTATGTTATTTCATCAGTTTGGGGATTTTTACTGTGAAGAAACCCCAAACTCGGGTTGTCCATTAATCACCCGACACCATCCGACATGGATGTCCTTCCCCTTTATTTTATTAATTTTACTTTTTTTGCTTTTTATTTTTTTAAAATAATTTAAATATAATTTAATATATTTATAGTAATTATTGGGTAAAAAATATATATACAATATATATGTAATTTTGTAGATAATAATTTTTTTTATAATACAAATAAATAAAAATTTAAATATATATACGTTGGATATAATATAAATTTATAATCAAATCATACAATATAAATTTTATTAATTAAATTTAATATACATTTATATTATTTTATTAATTATCCGTCAAATCAATATATATCAAAACTCTCCAAATTCAACCCAAACTTAAATAAAAAAAAACACGTAAATTCAAACTCACATCAAAATTAAAGTAAAAACCAAACTTAAACCTAAATTTTCCGAAACCTTCCTAAAAAAACACACCCTTAGCGATGTTGCTCATGAGTTATTTATATATATATATACATATATAATTAGTATTTTTAATTATTTATTTGGTTATTTATTTTTTGAGTTTATTTGATTATGTTCTTGATAAAAATATATTATTATGTTTTTACTTATAAAATTTTATATTAAAATAGAGTTTGTTTGCCCACTCTTTTTTTTTTTTACATTACATATATATATATATTATACTTTTATACAAATCAACATTTTAATATAAAATATTAATTTTTTATATTATCAACACAATTCTTTATATCAATTAAAAAAATTCAAATAAAAACACTAAACAAATAAATCCATTATTTAAAAAAAATTAAACATAAATAGAATTTTTTAATAAGTACTTCTTGTGTCTTAATATAATTAATCTATTTCATTGGAGACACAATATTTAAGATATTAATATTTAATTAGTTAATAATAGTGAGTCATATGATATTATTTTGATACTTTTTATATAATTAATAATATTTGTAATTTTTTTTCTTAAAAAAATACTTCCTCCGTCCACTCATAAAGTATACAATTACTTTTGACGGTAGTTAAAAGTAATGTAATGGCATTTTTGCCTTTGTTTTTTGGTGTAAAAGTAATGATATGATATAAAGTAAGGGTATTTGTGGAAAAAAGTAAGATATTTAATGAAATGTTTACTTTGTAATTGGACATCCCAAAATAGAAATATGTATACTTTTTAGCTGGACGGAGGGAGTATATAAGATTAAAAAATTAGGATATGTATTTAAATATTTTAAAAATTATATCGTAATGAAAAATATATTCAATATGAATATCATTTTGTAAAGAATAAATTTCTTTGTAATATAAGTAAATAAATAATATTTTTATTTATTTATATTTAATATAAATTAATTTTTATAATAGATGTGAAGTTTTAAATATATATAAAAATATTTATTATTTTTAAGAGAGATAGAAATAAAGTTATTTTGAGTAAGTTCTAGTATATAGTCCGCCTCCCGTAACTATGTATTGATTTACCTTTTGATGTTGAATTTTAAATATTAATATTATATTCATAGGTAGTACAAATTAAGATAAAAAAATAAAAATATTTTTATTAGTATTCTATAATACAAATATAATAATATTTATATAAAATATTATACAAATATATGTATATTTTTAATATTAAGTACAATAATGCAAAAGACAAATGAATACCTTGTTAAGGGAGGAACATAATATATTTTATGTAGTTAATTAAGTTAATTTATATTTGTTAAGTATATTTTTATTTAGTAAGTTTTACCAAAATAGAAAGGTATAAGTGTTATGAGACAGTCAAAAATAAAAAAAATATTACTTCCTCCATCCCATATAATTTGTCCACTATTTATATTTCCGTCGGTCCCACATAATTTGTTATTTCATTTTTTAAAATATAATTATACACTTTAATCATATTTTAAAATTCATAATTTATAATTTTTTTTATTTTAATTAAATTTTATAGTCATCTTTATCTTAATTTATAATTATTTTTATTAAATTATAATTATTTTTACTAATATATTTCTTAATTATTTACTAACTATAGAATATATCCGTACCTAAATTAAATAGGACAAATTAACTGGGATTGAGGGATTAATAATTTTGAAACGGAAGAAATATATATTGTTTTGATATTATAAATATATTTATAAATTTTACTTTATACATATATATTTGTAAAAAATACTCCTAAATTCTTACTGACAATTATTTTTGTTTTTTTACTATCAATTCTTACTGTTTCACTGTAAATATTTATTATTTTTTTATATGATATTATATGTAAATGGCTATTTAAAAAAATAAATAAAAACTAAAGAAAATCACTAACTAAACAAATGCATTTTGTTTCAACCAATAAAAAAGTATGGGCAAAACTCATCTTTCACATTTGGTTATAAATAAGTATTTAATTATATAAATTTTATTAAAAAAAATAATTTAAATATATTAAATAGTCTTAAAAAATAATAAATAATTGATCAATATTTTATTTTATATATATATTTTTTAAAAATTAACTGTTTTTCTTCAAAAAAATAATTAAATAGATACTTGATAAACTATTTATTTAACTAAAAAAAATAAATTATTCAAGATATTTTTTTATTTGTATAAAATTTATATAATTAAAATCGTATTTAAATCAAATATTAATATTGAACAAAAATAGTATTTTATACATCTTTTAATTTAACAAAAAAAAAATCACATAATAAATACAATACGAAATCTTCTATTTATTTTTAGTAAAACACAATAATTATTACTTATTATATAATTTACCCTTTGTTTATATATATAATGTTGAATTGTGTAGTAAAAATATTTTTAAAATTGAAATAGCTTTTTACAGCTAGATTTTTGAATATTAGTATTATATTGGATTGTAGTAAAAAAAGACAAAGATACCTATATTAGTATGGTGTAATATAAAAAGAACGACATTTGTGTAATATATTGTAAATTGAAAGGATATTTATTATGTTAAGTAGGTAGTACAATTACGAAATTAAGAAATAGTAACCTTGTTTTAAGATATACAATAATAGAAAACGATAACCTTTCGATGGAACTGAGGGAGCATACAGTGTAATAAATAAATAAATAAATAAATGTGGCGATGGAAGGCTACTTTAGAGATTGGTCAATGGGGGTGAGTTGTAAGTAATTGAATTAATAATTAATTAACGACATAAGATTAGAATCTCAATGCACATATAAATAAATAAATAAATAAAAAATAAATAAATTATATGGTCCAAATCCAAGTGTATTTCCAGTCACACCCACTTATGCAACATGATTTCCTCAAAACTAGCAATCAATTCATTAAAGACACTACACAAAATACACCTACACTCTACATTTCATTAATATCTCCAAACCTACCTAAGCTACATTTTTTTGGTCTCCAAAACCCTCTATACATTTTTCTCAAATTATTATTATTATTATTACTCATTCCGTCATGCAAATGTCTACTCATTTAACCAAACACAAATTTTAATAAAAGTGAGTAATAATTGTTATTTTTTTCTTTTATAGTAAAAAAAATACAAAATTGTAATCATTTTTTACTTAAAAAAAAGAAACGAGTATTTTTTTGATAAGTGAGCATAGATCTGAAGGACAAAGGAAATACTCCCTCCGTCCACTTATAAAGTATACAATTACTTTTGGCGCGATGTTCAAGAAATAATTGTATTTTAATTATAGTGGGTGGTTAAACGTAGTGTAATAACATTTTTGCCCTTGCTTTTTGGTGTAAAAATAATGATGTGATGTAAAGTAAAGGTATTTGTGGAAAAAAGTACGACATTTAATGAAATATTTACTTTGTAATTGGACGTCCCAAAATAGAAATATGTATACTTTCTAAGTGGACGGAGGGAGTATTATTATTATTATTACTCCCTCCGTCCCGAAATTAAATACCTATTTGCTTTTTGCATGTAGTTTTAAAAATATTAGTATTATATTGGGATATAGTAGGAATAAAGTAGAAATGACTAAAATAACTTTATTAGTATGTGTGATATAAAGGTAATGACATTTGTATAATATATTGTAAGTTGTAAGGGTATTTGTAATGTTAGGTAGATAATACAGTTACTTAAAAAAAAAGAAATAAATACTTTGTTATGAGACGAACTAAAATGAAAAAATAAATACTT